GTATAATTTTTTTTATAATAAATTAAAATTTCTCAAGTTTTTATAAAAAGTTTAAATGGGTTTATTTTTTTGACAAGTTTGTCAATACTGTATATTAAAAAAAACTTCTTATCGGAATTTCGGGATAAAAAATCATCTAATCTGAGAAAATGATCTGCATATTATTTTAACCGACTAAATTAGTCGGTTAATTAATCGGTTAATTTAGTCGGTTAATTAGTCGATTAACCGATTTTTTGATACTTCTAACAGATTAACCGCCTTAACCGATTAATTAATCGATTAACGTTAATCGGTTGCAACCTCTAAGATATTATAGAGAAATTGTAGCTCATATATATATACATATAAAGATTGTTGTATCATAGCGTGAGAATACTGATATGCATATACTGATATGCATTACCATTAATTCCAAAAATTATCTTCAATGGTAACGAACCTAAAAACAAGCTTGGAACGCCTTCTGATCATTGCTTTATATGTGAAGATAATCAAATCATAAATCATAACGGGAAATTATACTCACAAAAAGAAATGATCGGACTAATCAGAGGATGACAATTCAAAATGATTTGAATATCCGAAATGGATTCGCGGATTCATCCGTTACCCATCTGGATATCCGCCGAATACATCCGGATGTATCGGATTATGGATTCATCCGGATCTTATTACTAATTCATTTCGGATATTTATTTTGTTTTTTAGTTTTTTTTTTTTTTTTAAAAAAAAAACCTTTTCTTTTTTGTAGGAACGGGTTTTCGTGGTGATCAGCTCTTTGTCAAAATTGAGGTTTTGTACCTTTGATTTTAGGGAGGTTATTTTTAGTAAAATAACATTTTTTTTCTGGATTTTTATTCGAAGTATAGTTTGGAAGGGTGACAGTTCAATCTAATGTTCATAAAGCTTAAAGGATTGAAAAGTGATTTTTAAAGACAGCAGAAAACCAGTCTTGTAGTTTTATATTCGAATATTTGGAGTAAAATAACTTTCCCATAGTATAATAAATCTGTATGGAATAATGCTTTAATGTAAAGTTTCAACTTGTAGGTAGAAGGCGCAGTTGTCTTGGGAAGTTGTACTCTTGTTTTTTTGAGAATAAAGTAACAAAACAATATTTTTTTATGGTTCTCTAGGTGGTAAAATGATCAATATGAAAACAGCGTTAGAAATCATTTTTGCCATCGAAAGACCATATATAGATTGATTCGTAACACTCCTTCTGAGTCATTTAAAAAGAAGAAGGATGCTAAATACTCTTCGGACAGAGTATTGAAAATTATAGTCAAAAGAAAGAAGAACAAGTTCCAGAAGCCTAATAACTTGAAAACATGTAGCAACAGGGACGTTCTAATTAATGTTTGTACTTTCCTGGAAGAAGAAATTATTTTTTAATAAAATAATGAAATAATGGACATTTATCAATTACTATTTATGGTTGAAATTAATACTTAAAAATGTAACGTTGAGCACTTGAGCATGTAATTCGAAAAGCTTAAGTTCTTCAATGGAAAAAATTCAATTTCAATTTTTTGCATTCCAGTATTGTTTGTTCCCACTTTTCATATCTATAGTACTATATAGCCTTTTAATTTTAACAATTTAATCAGATTTTACAAAAACAAAAATGGAAAAATGCGATATTTATATTTATTATAATATGATATTAATGTTTAAATGTTTTATCTATAAAAATAAAATATTATTTATCGTTAAAAACTTTAAAATTGTTCACCAAAAAAATATTGTCTATTGTTTGGGCTAATAAAAATTCATAAATTGTAATTTAAGCAGTAAATTTATTGACCAAATTACCAAATTATATAAATTTTATGCTAAAATTATGTAAATTTTGTGACCAAATCAATGTAAATTCAGTGTAAGTTCTATGATCAAATCATGCAAATGATGCGGAATTGTGCATTTTCATATATCCCTATATAGATATGTTATTTCTAAGGAAAAATTGTATAAAAACCTTATCCAATTTTTTTATAGGTCTAATTATAATAAAATTTCACTATTCATTAATATTTAAAGCTGCTTAATGTTTACTTGTTTAATTAATATAATTAAATAGTATCTTTAATTTAAATGTATTTTTTTTAAATAATAACTAGGGTGGTGTCAGGAATCAAGTTGTTATTTATTGAGGGTTGTGTATTTATGTTTTTGTTTGTAATAATGTAGAATATATTAAGAAAAAATCTGTTTATGGATTTTTTTCGCTTTATTATCAATTTTCTCATCCGCTTTTAGGTATCTACATTTTATATTAAATTTGTCAGCAACATTTTCCTTTCCAACAAATCTAGTAACATTAAGTTTGATACTTATACGTAACCAATGAGAAAAACAAAGATTGAACTAATCATCAAATGATCACCTGCATTAGCTGTCATCTGATTTATTTTTTTATTTTTTAATTTTTAAAAAAAAGAATTAATAATATTTTCTTTGGGTTAATAAATTAAAAATTACCTCCGAAATATCATCATGAGGAGGTTCCTTATTGAGAAAAATTTTCCTGTAAACCTAACTATATCACCAGATGTAAAATCGGGAATCCATTTTGGAACTGATGGATTTTTTGGAAAAAAGGAAGTATTATCTTTTTCTAATAGTTTCTTTTATCACTTTCTCATTAAACAATTGAATAAATTACACAAATTAAAATGAGTTTTGCTGGCATAGTATTTATTTATTTTTATGTAAGGAATAGATATTTTATTTACTAATATTTTTCTTAAACGATTTTTTTTTCTTTTTTTTCTTTTTTTTTCAAAAAAAAGAGATATTTATTATCGCTATTTTCGATTTAGTTGAAACTGATTAAATTATAAATAAAAATAATAAAATACCGAAAACACTTACGTCACATGTTGATCAACAATGATCAGCCAATGAAATTTAAACACATAATAATTTACTGAATAAAAAAATTATTTTTCACGTTCAAACGTTCAAAAGAAAAAATTTTAACATTATGCCTTTTGCAACCTTACAATAATTAGAAAATTTCACCAACCATTTAAAAACAATAATTACTACTTTATAATATTTCGATTATCTGTAATTTGATTTGAATAATTTTTTATTTAAAGATTTAAAGTTTATATAATTATAATGATTTTTTTTTAAAAAAAAAAATCAAAATCTTAGTGTTCTGTTAATTTGTAATTTAAATGATTTTTTAATTTTTGAAAGAAACAAATCTTTTTCTAATCATAATCCAAAAATTGCCCTAACTCAAGTACCCACCACATTTATCTATAGATATAAATATTTATCTCTAACTGTATATAAAAATATCTTGTTTATCCAACAAGGTCTATAATAAAATGAATAAAAATAAAAATCAGTAATTATTACTTGCTAATATTACCAATATAATAATAATAAACTTAGTTTACCTTTAAAATAATGTTAAACTTTGCAATCTAAAATACTGGCAAGTACTTTATTATTATTTAATAAGTATTTTCAGTTAAATACTCCAGTTAAATAAAAAAAAAA